CCCGCCGGTATTTTGTGGTGTATGATGGTGGTGTTTTCCTCCCCATCATTCCCACGATTAGCTAGGGAAGGGTTAGGTCCATCCACACAGAGCCCCGCATGAGTGGGTAAGGCTGATACAATGAGGTGCGCCTGTTGCCTCAAGGTTAGTCGCTTTTGGCTGGGCTTCCCCCCAGCCTTGCATCTCTTGGCGCGCACTATACCGTGAGAAATGGGAGGTGTTATAGTGACCTCGTCACGCGGTCCGGGTAGTATTCAAATTTATTTCAAATTCAAATGTTTGGTGTTGTAGGGTTTATTTATAAACACCCATATTCGAGGTTATGAGAGCAGGTTGACATTTCGTCAACATGTCGTTATTGTCAGTCTGTATAATTCCATGGTTACCGGAGTTTTAAATAATTACGAAGCCACAGGTATTTGCGCAATGTTAATTAGGCAGATTACCTTGAAAAACATTGCTGCCGTATTTCTGATACAGTTTTTTGCAAATTTCTCAGTTTTGAATAATAATTAATTTATTTTACTATTTTTTCTGTACTCCTATAACAGCGCCAGACAACACCTCCAGAGGAATGACGGCAATTTTGAATCACCCTGTATATTTATTTTAAGTCGTTACATATGACGTCTATGTACTCAGGTTTTGTTTTATACTTTTGGATACATCGAGTAGACGAAATAAATAACATTATCACACAGTTGGCAATAAACAAACTAGCAAATGGTCAAAATTCCTCATTTATACATTTAAGCAAGCTTGTGGTCCACAATAAATTCCATATTTTATTTTAAAAATAAATTGCAGTTCAATTTTCTGCTCTATACACATATTTAGTGGCCTTCAATAAATCATTGGTCAATAAATTGTGAGAAAACCTGTGGTGTGAAACAGGTATAAGCGTTTGAACCAATGACAATTTATTTCAATAATATATAGCCATTAGCTGACATATTTGTGAGTTATGGCTAGAAACGGATGGCCCGAGTCCACATGATTTTCATTCAAAAAATGCGGCCGCTCAATATTTTTTCCTAGAAGCCAACCATTAGGTCGGACATATATCAAATAAGGTAATAAAATTGCTTTATTGCCTGTGTTTCTCACGTTTTATCGAGGCGCAACTTAAATGTGCAGGGAAATTCGTTGAATTCTTATATGAAATTTTTCATACCAAGATGTAGTTATCAAAAAATGCAGCAAATCTATTCCAGCAAAACTTTATTGGATTCCGGCACGAAACTGATGTTAAAACTTTTAAATTGTTAATAATATTTTGCTAAGTTTTAACTTGTATAAATTACGTAGCAACCACATTACATATAACTTTAATGCATGCATAGTTTTCGTTATTTGTCTGATTGGGATAAATAAAAAAATATCGATTGTTTATTAATTAATGCGAAAATGTCAAGAAAGTGAATTTTTGATTATCCAAAAAGTAAATTCAAATTGTTTAGAAGTTATTTAAGAACCAGGTTTGATAGGTCCGCATTTTGACTCAAAAAATTTGATTAATGTTTGAATTGTGTGAACAATGTTGTTACTTACCTAAATTCAGGCCGGATTGATGAACCAAAATAATATGTTTGCAATTTTGCTATGTAAAAATGAACATTTGAACTCTTGATTGAAATTCGCATAATACTTTTCGTAGCTAGTTATAGAAAGTGATTTTGTGATTTATACAATTACATATTTTATTCTTCGAGCCAACTAGCCGCAATGGATAGCGCTTATTTTTTCTGCCTTTGACGGCGCCAACTTTTAAAATACGGGCTACCAGAACAGACATATTACGCATGCTCATTCTATCGGAGAATCTCCAACGATTCCATCTAACAAAGAATAACTCTGCATTAGAAGCTCGTCGCCTCGTTAGAGACTTCCGTACCGATCTGTGTGGCATTAATTTTGCGATTTATACTGTACCGTGGATGGCCGAGTATCAAACTCTTTCTTTTGCTTCCAACTTTTATTCCACTCGGTATAACTTTAACTAC